TGTTTTTGAAGTTTCTATGTTTTTTTTTTTGCGAGGAGGTAGGGGACCCCCCCCGACTCGAAACCCGTTCCCCGCCCCCCAAACCCCCTCCCCGATCGGCCGCGGCGGCGGCCGAAAAAACTTGGCCGGTCCGACCGCGGCCGGGGGGGTCCCGGCCTAGGCCGCCGGCCGCGGCCTGGGCCGAACCCGGCCGCGGCCAGCGTGCAACATAGGCGCTGCCCTCAGCTGCGCCCTGTATCCTCTCGACGCCCGCACGTGCCTGCACTTCCCACTAGCGCAGCAAGCAGGCCGCAAGTCTAAGCTCCAGCAGCGCTGCCTGCCGCAAGTGCAAGTGCCCGAATCTCCCGCTCTGCGCCCGTCCCTTTCCTATATGGAAAGTGGCGGGCACTTGCCTTTGCTACGCCCACGTGAGGTCATTTTCAGTAGCTTCAGTCTCGGCCAGAGTGTCTGCGCCCAGGCCCGATTCAGACAGTGGCCTCAGACTGAATTGGTTAGGCATGCCCAACCACCCAGGCACAAACGTGCAATGCTCCCTGCTACGACCACGTTGCTGGAAGAGCCTGGAAGGCTCACAAATATTTGGATTCTCACTTGCAAGGCGGATTGTAACCAACTGGCTCGTGGCAACTTTCTGGCGCCGACCAAGATTTGCAAAAATTCACGAGTTCAGGGCGCATTGAGATTCAGGGGCCCCGCCTTCACTTAGGGCGGGCACGGGCCTGCTGCGGGGCCCTATGCCAAGGCATAAACCCTCACACTCCCTCCTCCTTTACTTCGGTAGTCCTCTGAGAAGCCGTTACGCAGCAGGCTGCTTCCCTTTGAAATTTTGTTCATAGCTTGCGATAATTTGGGGAGCAGTCTTCATTCGCTCCTCTTGTGAACCACCAGTCTTCGTTAGGATCCGTATGGTGTCTGAACCGCACTCGGTACTGCATCTCCGGTTTCGGAGGGCGTCCGCTGCCTGGAGGCTTGGGCACAGGCATCAGCTTGTGCTCAACAATGCCGTCGATGTACACGTGTTCATCCATGGCTTAGGGGCAGCATAGATCTTCTTCAGGGAAACTGCTGAGTTTCAGCAAAGGGTGCCAATTGGATGCATGGAAAACAGGGTGTGTACAAAGGTGACCAGGAATGCGAATCACATACGATGGGCCATCGGGTTGATCTCCTACTATGTCCAGAATCTCCCAAGGCCCAAAGTACCGTGGCATCAGTTTGTGTGAAATTTCCAACTCTTGGCCCAATTCAGATGGTTTTACCCAGACTTGTTCACCTACCTGAAATGCAGACGCTTCTCCCGCTCCTTTTTCTTCTTCTGCTTATTCTTCTCCCCTCCTTCTCCTTCTCCTTGTCCTTCTTCTCCCAGCGTTCCTTACGATAAATGACACAGTCTGTTCCATGACAGTAATGACACACTCGACGGAGTCGACGCTTCGTTCCATTACAATTGAAGGACCCTGAGACAGTGGCATTGATTACATCCTCTGAAAAAGGGGAGAAAAAGGAAACAAAAAAAAACCAAAAAAAAACGACACACTTTGTTCCACTATAACAACAATTACGTATACATATACGGGCAACGTGCCACATATGATATAATGATATTATAATCCAACATTTTCACCAATTAAGAAAGACGGGCCACCAGGTTGGCAGCAGTCAGAATGCAGCACAGCAGTTGTGTCCTGCGACTTTCACCAGTGTAGTGGTTGTGGCGTTTGCAGGCAGAGCCAGAAGAGAATGCAATTGCGAAAAACAACCATGATCATCGGCGCTTTGAAACAAGCGAAAATCAAACCATGAAACCTGTGCTGTTTCATGGTTTCGGCGATTGCGGTCAAAATCCAAACAACTGAGAAGAGAATGTAAACCAGCACTGCATCGCCGAATGACTTCACAAACAGCAGAGGTCAGCAAGACATTGCGGAGCACAGTTGACAGTCAGAAAACGGACACGCGTCTTGCAACATGTCACATTGGTCAAGAAGAAGAAGAAGAAGAAGAAGAAGAAGAAGAAGTAGAATGGAAGTGGAAGTAAGAAGAAGAAGAAGAAGTAGAAGAAGAAGCAGAAGCAGAAGTAGTAGTAGTCGAAGAAGAAGCAGAAGTAGTAATAGTCGAAGAAGAAGAAGAAGAAGAAGAAGAAGAAGAAGAAGAAGAAGAAGAGGAAGACGAAGAAGAGGAAGAAGAAGAAGAAGAAGGATGAGGAGGAGAAGGACGAGGAGGAGGAGGATGAAAAGAACAAAAAGAGGAAAGAAGAAGATGGAGGAGGAGGAGTAGGAAGAAGAAGAAAGAAGAAGAAGAAAGAAGAAGAAGAACTGGGAATCTCACTGCTACTGGTACCATGCTGCTGCTGCTGCTGGTCCGACTTGTTGGTAGCCTCCTGCTACTGGCATTCCGGGTCTTACATGCTGCAAGCCTCGCTCTTGCTGCTTTCCTCCGCTGCTGTCGGTTCCTCCTCAATTATCTTGCACTGGCCTCTCTGTGTCATCCGCTCCCACAGTCTTCGCACAAAGTCTTGATGGTGGTCCAGGCGCTGTAGTTTGGGCTGCCATGTAGTTTGGGCTGGCCTTGCTTCTCCTTTTTGTGGTCGACCTTGCACTTGTCGTGCTGCTGGAGCAGTACATGGCAGCCATGCTGTTTCTCCCTGCCCTGCTGATCCCCAGATTGTCATGCAGATGGGCGCATTGCGAGAAAGGGAGAGGAGCCAGACATTGAAACGTTTTTTTTTGTTTTTTTAAGTTTTAAAATTTTTATCTTCAGCTTATGAGCCTTCTTGGCCAGGTTTCTCTTATCACCCACCCCCTGAATTGTGGATTGCCAAATTGATATTGATATTAAAAAAAAAAAAAAAAAAAAAGCGAACGAGTCGTTGATTTCTTCGTTCTCATGCCCTCTGGGTCCCTCACACAGACATCACCTACCATTCGTGGGCAACATCACTAAAGATGGTCTCTGATGGCCATTGCCTTTGGCACTGCCAGCTGATCGTTTTGTGTTTGTCTGTGCTTATATGCATCTGTTCCAAAATTTGAACTTCATTTGTGTCGAAAAATTGGATTTCAGTTGGCAGCGTAGTGCAGCGAGGAGACCATCATCTAGACCGTGTTTGTGGTACGAGCTCTCTCTCTCTCTCTCTCGTATACGTCAGCGCCACAGAGGAGTCTCTGAAGCGCAAACTCTTTCTGGGAAGAAGGAACTCAGTAGGTGCGCAGAGGGAGGAGCGGCATCTATCTCTGTAGCACAAGCTATCTTATGATTCTTATCTTATCTCACACACGGACGGAAGCTCTTTCTGGGACTTGACGTTTTTCGGGGAAGGAGGATTTTGGTTGCTGCTCCGAGTACTGGCGATTACAAAAACTGTTTTCTGGGAAGGAGGAATTGGAATTCGGTTGCGGCACCCGACTACTCACAATCACCTGGTGAAGTATCGAGTCAGTGATTCCACACGTGTTGCTTGATGTCGTCACATGAAGAAATGCAGGGACAGGAAGGCGAAAGCGCCTCTCGGCTAGTGGAGAATCTAGAGGTGGGCTCTGTACAGAGAGCAGGCAACGACAGCAGTAGCTATGGCAGAAGTGAAGGGGGGGAGAGAGGAGATGAACGAACTCTGCTTCACATGTCTGTGGCTACAGACAGCACGACGGGCGGTTCCGTAAGATTTCCGCTCCAGCGGCCGCACCTGAAAAAACTGGAGAAAGTCCGCGAAGATGAAAGTCGAGGGAGCGACGGCGGATCGCAGATGTGGCAGGTCTACGTGGTCGCAGGGTATATTGCGTTCCAGTTCGTCAAACGGTGGTGGATGGGGAGATCCGAGGATCGACAGCAACCCCCTCCATCTCAGCGACGATGACTGCAGGAGTCAGTTTGCACTGTCTGGATGGAGCATGAACCAGAATTTTGTAAGGGAAAGGGGGCACATACGCACTTGTACTATTTCGAACGAATGTTGACCTATACGCAGTCAGGTGGGTCACGGAAATTACTTGTGTGAGTGTGTGCCCTTTGATCAATTATAAACCGCTGTACGTTCCACATTTATGAACATCACAGGAAGGAGAGAAGGAGAGAAGAGGGAGAGAGAAAGCTAGCTCTGGCGACGAAAGAATGGCTTGGCTACAGGCATGTCAGAGAAGGAGAGAGACGGTTCGCATGCAGATCTGATGTTTTTTTTTTTTGTTTTTTTTTTTTTTT